ATAAATTATTTATAAATATTTACCTCCTCATCCCAAATCATACATAAAGAAGAATTAAACGTGTTCATCTTCCTAGTGACATCCTGCACCTGGTGTTCTGTTGTTCCCATACGCGGTACTCTCCTAGTTCATGCTTTGCAATGTACCCACCAGCTGGGTTACTGTTAGAAATGACACTACAATCCTCTCTGTATGTATGGAAGCCATGCAATTCCATCACTCCTAATTTCCTCTTAAACGGCTCGCAAAAATAGAAGGTAAACTTTTGCCTTTTTTTTCTTGAAAATCGATCACTGGTCATTTTTTAACCTGCAAAATTAATTCTGAATTCTGTGCATGACTTGTAACTGCAGGGTTTAGGAAGATAAATTATTGAGTCATTTCACAGTGATTAAAATGCTTTACTTCAGCTTACCAGAGAGACCGAGAGGAAAAGAAGCTGTGCATACAAGAGGTTCTTAATGGGAAATGGTCTAGGCAGCATCTTAACAGCATTGTGCACATTCACTGCTCATTCAAACAAAGGCTGATGATAGCACATGAACATCAGAGGCCAAATTATCAAAGAATTCTTCTAAACTGCAGTTGCATATTCTCATTTTTAGAAGGGTGAAATAAAATTTTAGTATTCTGTATGTTAGACCTGCAAAATTGTCTAAATTTTCTTGACAAATAACAGCTGTTTCATATGTTCATTTTTCATTACTACTAAACCTCATCTCTTTAAAAATGAACAAGGCAAGTCTCCCTCTTGGTCTAAGCTCTCAGACCCTTGGCATAATTAAACACGCTCTAAAGTATTCCTCCAGGTCTGCCATTCAAAGTACAAATTTTAAAAATACAGCAAGAAATATACCATACATTTGCTTGAATAGTAAGATATTAACTTAAATAATTCTAAATAATAGTCACTATCTATATAGCTTGCTTAGATAATCTCTACAACATCCCTTCCCACTCCCTTGTAAACATTATATGAATCCACTGAATTTTTCATAGCAAATATCTGCTTTGTGATTAGATATTTATAATTTGACATCACTTTAGGAATGGCAAAAACCGCCAATGAATTATTAGTGCTCTGTGCACGTGTGAAGATTAGGAGAAAATGTCACAGTAGCGTCACTGCAGGACAAAACTACTGTAAACACAGCACGGTGCCAAGACAGGGTTAGGATCCTGCTACAATGGCTTCATGGTAGGAAACCCACTACCACGTGGAAATAGCAGAGAGCTGTGCCTATTTTGTCGGGATGCATATATAAAAACGGAGATATTATTACAAATAATATCAGCCTCTGAGACAGGTGAACGTGGTACTCCCCCACTTCTCAGGGTGTCTCACAAAACTGGAAATACCAGTAAGGTGACAAAGGCCTGTGAATAAGACTGTATTTTAAAAATAAAAAAGCATACAAAACCTAAAAAAGTCTCACATTCCTGTTCTTTTTTTTTTCCCCTATACAATTAATATAGAGATAATAAAAACAGGGATCTTACAAAAATTGCATTCACAAGAATAGTCCTAAAACCCTTTAATAGTCAGTAACACTTCAATATTCCGCATATCCTTATTGTTATTATTCCATTATATCAGAATTATTTTTTTTTTAATGGAAATATATATCTGTATTTTGGCCATGTTGAAACTGTGCTGCTTTTAAATGCTTAAAATAATTCTCCCTGTAATAATCCTTCCTATGTTTCAGGAAGGCTGTAAACTCTTTCCGTCTCTCAAAGTGAAAATTGATAATTGCCACACTACTCTTGAGAACATGACATTGATTTCGTCATAAATTGAACTTTCCACCACCTATTAGAGGACAAATTTCTGCACACTGACTCCTAGTCACAGGCTGCACAATTGCTTCTGAAACCCAGCTCCACTGGTCTACTATCGTAAGTTGTACAGGTCAGAAGTTTAGCTAAATTTCAAAATTTTAAACAAACATACGTCGTTGAAGTTCTTGTTCAGGTAAACTTGTAGAGAATATAGGTTTGGCTAAGATTTTAAATACGAAATGTTCTACCATAAGAAATTTTACCCATTAATTACTTAGCAAACAAAATTCCAGATAAGGCTTGTATGTAAATAGAAGTAGCACAAACGTAGATATAACAGATAGTACTAATAAAAGTATCCTATTAATATCATTGGGAATGGAGTTTACATTTTTACTTTAGATACAATATAAAAGAGAAATGAAATTCCACATTTAAAAAACTTATTTAGTAGTTAGTTGAGAAAAATGGTAAAACTTGCCAAAAAAATTTAAGTATTATTTTAAAATATGAAAGCATAGCAAGCAGATTTACATCTTTATACTCTAGTGAGAAATGCCATAAAATTTCAGCAAATACATTATGAAATGTATAGAAAAGAAAAATACATAATTCTTGCAGTAAGCAGGGCTTTCATCTGACATGCAGCATTAACTATGGAACAGGAGGACACATGCGTAATGCACTCCCTTTGAAGAACGTACATTTTAATTTTTATTTTTTTTAGACAATTCAGGGGCTCCCAATGGATCATTCCAGTGGAACATTTTCAAAGATAAAAAGATTTCACAGATTAACTCTGCAAAATTAAAGTACTGAGGCTCATCTAAATAAGTTTTCACATCCTACTTTATGCATCATCAGATGTCATGTAACAAAGCAAGTTAAAAATAAAATGAATGAAAGCATTGAGTACTTTTTTTAACCAAAAGAGCTTATTTTGATGTGGTATGGAGACCAAGAATAAAAGCCCAAGCTATCCAGCAATGAAATATCCTAGAACATTTAATTCCACTGATTTTCAGTGAATCTGACCTACTGGAAGAATGCAGGTGTTCCTCAGAAGAAATGAAAAGGCGAGTATGGAAAGGCAAGCATGTTAGTACCGAGGTGGAGGAGGCAGAAGGCTGTCCTTTAAAGTACAAAACACACGTATGCTTGGCATGCAACACCCAACCTACCTCTTCAATACCCTACATACTCACGGCCATAGCAAAGCACACAAGGCATGCGGACAAAGCAAAGGGAAAAGAAAAAGACACCGAGACGATATAAACAGCTGGCACGAAGACACGATCACGCCACAGAGACACTGACAGCAAAACCAAAGCTCTGGAATCTTCCCCACCATGAAGTACAGGCAGCTGACTACCTCGAGTAGCGAGAGGGCCGAAGATGAAAGCCAGAGGAAGCTGCTGAGGCTGTGCAAACTGGGATACGTGTGCTTTAGGATACCTTTACGGGTTTTCACTGCTACCTTTGTGCTGACAGTTTTTGAACTAACGTAGCAGCTGACAAAGGGCAGGAAGGCAAGACAATGAGAAGACTCTAAAATTACCACTTTCCACCTACGCTGGGCAAAGTCCTGTTCTTTCAGTTTCATTCACAACTGTACGTCAATCTTTGCGGGTGAGCCGGGAAGGCAATACACCTTGACCTCTTAAAATCCAACACGTCCTTTACAATCATCTGTGCCAACTTGTCTAAAACAAGTATCTAAATACTGAACAGGAAATAGGTGAATTCAATACTGTCATTCCACACGCCAAACAGACCATGTCTGTATGACTACCATGCTTATGAGTATGTGGAATATCCTAGGTGCAGTATATTATTATTGTTTCATGCCTCTTTACCATGAGATTTTAAGCAGTTATTGTGGAAAATTTGACCAGGGATGATATTACTGCACACCTTCATGAGAGGCAGAATTTTCCATCACCAGAAGTTGGGTTTTTTTTAAAAAAAAAAAAAGCAAGAGAGACATCATTTCATAAATAATCAGAAATCAAAATCATAATCACATACAGAGTTACACAACAATCACGACTGTCTTCCCAGCTTATGAAGCAAGAAATGGTTGATGTAATTAATATCAAAGTAACTGCGGTTGAATCAACCACAAGGGTAGTTGACCGCAATAACCTCTACCTTCCTTTACCTTTCTACCTTATTAAACAAAAACTTTTATGTCCACCTGTGTTCTAAAACACCCCGTCTTACTTGGAGATAGAATTTTGCAGATCAGTGCTTAAAACCCAGCAGCTTTCAAGAACGAGTCCTGTGCAGTTCAGTTCACATAAAACCCGTTTGAAATAGTTAACCCTGCCCATATAAATTGATGGGTTTTCTTTTGTCCTGAATGACTGCAAAATCACCCATAAATAAAGAGCACGGTATTGGTGTTTTTTTAACTGGGAGGAGGAAGCCAGTGAGGGTCACCTAGTTCTCTGTGGTGAGTCTGGGGAGGAGGTGAGTGGCTGCCGGCCCAGAGTAGGTTACTTGTTCCCAGTATTGACGCTTCAATAAAAAGTGACTGCCAGCCCACTACAGCGGCTCTCATGAGGCACGCTATGACTGGCACAGACACGCAGGAGTGGGAGACTGAAAGGCTTAGCTGAGTCCCAGCCCTCCACTTCCCATTGCTGTGCAGCACACGTGTTCTGTCATGTGAGGCTGGACCAACTAACAGGCTTATTTCCTCATAAACATCAGTTTCATCAGCTTTTTCTTGTAGAATGGAGGTAGATTATACGGGAGACTAAAGGAAGCAGTATTTCTGCCTCCTACTGTCACCAGTACCTGCCATTCCTTAGTCTGATACCATAGAAAACTGTCTACATAAAACAAATAACAATCTGAAAACTAAAGGTAGCATTCTGAATTAAAAAAAAAAAGGAAGTACCAAAAAATTTCTTTATCAATTATTTTTGGAGTCACAATTTAAATTTGATCCAAGTTTCAAGAAGAGTACATTTGTGAGGAGGCAGTGTTTAACATTTTTGGAGCTGTGTTCAGCTGAACTTTTTTTTTTTTTTAGTCATTTATAACAGCCGCATCTAATGTCTCACTTTAAGAACAGAGAACAAGACACAATTCCTGAAGCTGAATTCCTAGCTATGAATCTTGGTGTTCTCAGCCTCTGGCTTTAAAAAACAAAAACAAAACCAAGCAAGCAAAAAATCCCAATCCATTCCCAAGAAGGGACAACATCATATTCAGGGAATAGAAAGACTCACCCTGGTTTTGGCATCGATCTGCCCTCCGCGATCCAACAAGAGCTTCACCATGTTTGTGTTTCCCCTTTTGGAAGCCACATGCAGTGGGGTGATTCCATTCTACACCATGAAAAGAACAAACCATGAGCATGATGGATTTGAAGGTGTATAATGGTGGTGAATTTGTGTTTGCATCACAAAAAACGAGCCCATCACATTGTAGAGATTAAACACAAATGTACTTGAGCATCAGAGCTAGGCACACACCATATAAGCTAGAGTTAGTAATTCCTTCCTGAGCAAGAATCTTTATTCATTGTGTGGGTTTGTTTAAATAAACAAAGCAGCACATCTGCCAAAGCAGCAAACATCACAGTCCCAGAGTCAGACAAATAAACAAACATGTATCAGAGTCCCAATGAGTCAATATTCACAAAACACTGATGCATTTCAATCACCGCAACATACACAGAGTACACAAATGCGTGACTCCTACACAAATAAACCTTCTTAGTGTCATGCCAATAGTGTAAAGGAGTAGGTCCTGTTTAGGCTGAAAGTCCTTGCAAATGCTTTGGGGGAGGAAGGAGGTAATCTGAGCAGCTATTCCAGATTGGCAACAGGAGGAAGTCAATCTGAAAGGCAGAACCCTAACGTAATTCAAAGTGTGGCTGGCAAAATTCAACAGAAAACTTGCGATCCTGTAGCTATGGTAAGGTACAGATAATCAGAGGTTTTCATGGCACCAGACGCTGTGCTTCAAACTATGTAACATACAACAGCAAAGAGACTACATTATGTAGCTCTGCAGTTGTTTACCATAAAACAGTAGTCATGATTAATTAGTACTTTTATTGTTGCATTTATATAATGGCAATATACCTTACTTTCTGTTTTTCAAAATATGTTTATATGTGAAAATATCAAATTAAAGACACATAGGGAATACTGAAAAAGCCAATAAATCATAAATGCTACGTGTATTTCTGGAGTATGTCTAACTGACAGAAAAGCTGAAGTGAGTTGACACATTATGAGAGCAGCAGCTTTCTGGAGGTAGCCAAAGGAGCCTGCTGCCTTCAGCTGGGAATACTGGTCGCTGCTCAACTCCCAAGGACTCTTGTGCATTGCATGGAGGCAACCTTTAAGGATTACTGCAAAAAAAACCCATCTTTGAACACAACAGAATTTCAGCATTACTTTGCTCCTCACTTACTCTTGACTAAGAATTACACAACGGAACACTCCCACTTTTGTAGGCCATTACCACTAAGAAGAGAAAGAAATGACTCCGTACCCTTGCTGTGAAATCGACAGCGGCTCCTCGGTTTAGCAGAAGCGTTGCCACATTGACATTTCCATAGTGCGCAGCTATATGCAAAGGTGTAAAGCCACTCTACAAAGGGAAACAGCCCTTATTATAGAAATAATTTTAATACAAGATAATCAACTTAACTAGAACTTGATTTTAAAAGCTGCTGGCAAACAAACGTATCGTGTCAATTTTATCCAGTTCACCTATAATACAGCACAGCCTTTCAGGCAGAGAGTGCAGTTTTCATACGAGAGGTTATCAAAAGTGCTTCATTCTTTCATTCTCCAATTCAGTCTCCTGAATCAGTGGCCAATAAGAAACATAGCTTTCATCATAGAAAATATTAAGATATTAGCCATTCTTAAAGAAAATAAAGGAAGATTCCTTATTACAGTTGGAAGCAACATGGGTCTTTTGGGCTGCATCTGTTTACTGGTACATATTTCCTTCCCCCCCCCTTTTTTTTTTCTTGAAAAAGCAGTTGTAATTAAAAATGTAAGCCAAGACTTTGGTGTACATGAGAAACTACTTAGTAGCACAGTATAAGAATCATAATTATTTATATTATATACAGTTTGGATCTCAAAGGATCTGAAGCAACTTTGTCATCTATACATCAGAAAAAACACAATTTACTTATTGCCTCTTGAACACTAGGAAGGTGAAACCTGCCCCAGCTACAAGATACAGAATTGCTTGACACAACATAAAAAAGATTAATTTTTCAGAAACTAGGACACAGAGCAAGCTTTTAGTCTCATAAGTAATTCAAGTAGAAAGGACCTTGCTTTTGAGGTTTCCCTGAAGAGCTTTACACTGATTTGATCAGATCTTTCTGTTGGTTGTAGAAAGAGAGAAATACTTCTGCCTTCTAGACTGTACCATATCTTCAACTAAGTTTCATTTCTTTCAGTGTACAAAACATCACTTTAAACTGCTTATGGAATAAAGAAATGTAGGCAGATGTTGTACTCTGAAATCAACTTTATTCCCAAAAGACGGAGCAATCAGCCCGCTATTTTACCCTAATTCCATTTACTTCCTTGTCAGCCCACAGGTGATCCTGGTCAAAGTCCAGTCAAACACTCATTAGATCCATAGTCTTCTTGCTGTGATAAATTACCAGGGAAATGCCTGCTGAGGATATTAGGCACACAAATACGATACTGCGTTAAGCTAAGGATTGAATGCATATTGCATGAACAACTACCTTCTTGTGGACACACGTTTGCCTGGTGACAAAGGCAAGGTACCGAGAAGTAACACAGTGGCCGGTGAGGGAGAGGTAACCCCCTTCACCCTTCCCACAGTGAAGGACATGCCGACGGGCAGATGCCAGAGAGAAGCTGGCACCCTTCCGATTGACGCCGCCGGCTGCCTCCTGGTAACTTGCTCATGCGCACACACACCAAGTGTGAAGCGTTTTCACGCAGGTGCGGGCATTCAAAATTCAATCCCTCATCTAACAGAGAAACTCCATTATTTAGAAGCAGGCATTCAAATAATGACCACATTCTTGGAAATAATTCTTTTCTCTAAATGTGACAATAATCTTTAAGGGAGAAATCACAGTTCTAGCCAATCAGACCCATGATTTTTAGTGGAAGTGCTCGGAGAGTCAGTATTTCCAGAATCAGCATGAGAAATGTAATATTATCTGCTGCAGGTAAATTCTGATTGTGTACTATCCCTTAAGGACTTTTTAAAACTTTATTGAAAAGATCGTAAGAACAACAATGGTAAAACTAAGCAGATGCTCTGAACAAGTTTTTACCTTGGAGGATTTGATTATATTTATTATTGTAAAAGAAGGAAAATGAATTTTACCATTATTCTGGCTGAGCCAGACACCTTAATTTAGTTACATCAAGTGAGTGCATTTTCATAATTAATGAAATTGAGCTAGAAAAGCATCTTTATCCTCTTAGCTCCATTACTCGCTTCAGACTTCTTTGAACTAATGTAAATTCTCAAAAGTTTACTTCAATAGTGACACAAATAAAAGGAAATTCTAAGATAAAGGATAAATAAAAATAGGTTTGCAGAGTCACAAATTTCTATGTATTAAAAAAGAGTCATATCTTCAGTTCTGGTGCGAAATAATAATGAAATATTGCCACAGAGCAGAGAAAATAATTACAAGTAACAGAAAGAGTAATTAAAAATTTTTGATCTCGGTACCTCAGTCGTCCTATTCACCATCATCTGATGCAGCATGGTTTGGGAAAAAGAGGAACAATATTAAAGACTGGCCGCAAAACGAAGAACTATGTTGCTTTTTGAAATGAGTTATGCTGTTAATTATGGGAAAAGCCATTCAAGCATGCATTAACTTTAAATACAACCTATCTTCCCATGGGCAATAAACCAGTAATCTATTTAATAGGGAAGCAGCAATTCTGCTTCCATTTCAGTGTCTTCCGGTTTACAAATAATGAGAGACCTGGTTACCAAAGAAATGGGAGGTATAACTAAAAAGCAGAAAAATGAGTAGTTTATAATTACAGTGTAGCTAAACACTGCAAAAGTAGATATATTACTGGTGATACTGGTCGAGCAACTTGTCTTTCCCCACAGAAGAAATTACCTTTAACCGTTAAGGTGAAGGACGTAAAGTTTGTTGCCCATCGGCACTCAGCCACGTGACTACCCTGTTACCTCCAGGGCAGCATCACGTTACCTTGGACTGCACATCGGCATTATGGTCGTTCTGTAGTAAGAGCGCCGCTGATTTGGTGTCGTCTTTTCTAGCGGCAATATGCAGAGCTGGCAATCTCACTTTCCCCTTGGTGTCATTTTCCAGGAGGATGGCCACCGCCTGGTTGTGTCCTTGCTGCAGTGCAACAGCTAGAGGAGTGAAACCATCCTGGTAGAGAAGAAAACAAGATGTGCTCGGTAAGCTGAAGGACGTACAGCTTCAGTGATTTGCACAGTGCTGTTCACACACAGAAATTTGGTAAGGGCAGTGTTTACTACCTCTGCACCACTGTCTCCAGTGAAACGACGTCAGAGGTACAACATTTTAACCCAGATATGATTTCAAACATGTCAGAAGCACACTTTTTCCACTTCAAATAGTCTTTTTTAAAGTCAAGTACAAGCAAAGGGTCATTCTACTGTATCTCTCTTAATTACTTATCATCTTATAATGGGCCACAAAGCATATTTTTAGCAATATTTTGGTAAGGATTAGTCAGCACTGAACAAAGTAGGTGTGAAAAATACACAGGGAACCTGTTTCTGAGTATCTCACTCTGCGAAAAGAAAGCCTATCTTCGGATGCATTTGCTGCGGTCTCCCATTCTAAATTACACACAGACTGTAAATCAAAAGAGCCAGCTCATGTTTAGGAATTTATTCTAGTTTGAAGCAGGAAAACATTAGATTATTTGTATTTTTTTGAAAAACAGAGTCAGAAAAATCGCTCTGCTTTTCATTCATAGTTTTAGCTTTGTTTTAAAATTATTTTCAAATTGTCTTGTTCCTCCACACAGGCCCTGGATCGCCAGTGCTTTAAAATGAGTCACATGGTCACAACCTGCTCTCTCGGCTGAAGTCCTGCCGGTTTCCCTATCTTTTATTCTGACTGTAAAACTGAATCTAGCTCCTGTCTTGCACAGTGCCCAAGCACATACGTGCTGTAACCACGTGCTAGATCGGCAGGCAGCGGAGCCACAAGGAACAAAGCAGCTCTCTGTGACCGGAGGCACGGTGAGTAACAGCGCAAGAAAAGGGAAGGGACTAAAACAAGGTCTTCTACGTCTAGGTTGGAAGGAACAAGTATAGAGTTGATTATAGCCAGAAAGTGAGAAAACTGATTTAGATACATTGTAAAAGGCATAGGAATGAGACAGAACTGATTTGGAATAGGAATATGGAAAGATGATAAAATAATAAATGACAAGTTAGGCAGGAATGAGAGCCAACACATGCTGAAAGAAACATCTGAAGAATTGCCAAAGCAATTCTTCCCCTTAGTAATCTAATAACATTCACTCCCTTTTGTGTACAACTGTGGGTAGGTGCATTGTAACAGCGATACTACTATGGTTTCTTTCTGTAATAGAGATTAAATTCTGTACAGTGAATTTAAAAAAGGGTGAACAGCTGATGAAACAGCTGAACTGTAAAGATAATTCTGAGATTGGGGCTACATTAGGTGTTGAAATGGCTTAATGCATTTGCCTTTTGCCTCTGGGAACATGAGAACAAATCCTGGATTAGAGGCCCTGTGAAACTGAGCTCATCCTTACTCTCATTTTGTATATATATGTACATAAGCGTTACAGGAAATGAAATATATCCAAAGGCAGTGCAAGTTTCCAAGCTTCAAAGACAAGATCACCCATTTGATTTGCACCACTTTATCTTCCATCCTTCTCTAAAAGGACACAACTCTGTCTGCATTCCCTCTCCTATTGCTTCTGGGAAGCATGGCTGATCAGAACTCAGAGAAAGCATTTCATTTCCCCACCTCCCCACATGGGGAGCGCCAATCTTTGATGCCAAACAGAAGATCCTTCTCCATGTATTTCAGTGGCATCTTCAGTTTAGGCTGCCATCCCATCTTATTTAATATGCCATTTCCTCATTCTGTTCATGAGACTGACCCTGGGCATGTGTGAAAATGGACCGTGGCTCAGGCTGTCCTTCAGTAACACTCGAAACACCGAAACCATCACCTCAGGAAGACCCAAAACTTAACTAGATAAGCAATAAGGGGGTAGACAGCCTTTACTTTATAAGCTACAAAAGTGAGAACTGACCTTTCTGATGGCAGAAGACAGACTTGGACTTGGGTTCAGAGTGGAGGGCATTTGATGGTTTTTTCCTCCCCCCATCCTGACTTTTATTAAAAAAAAATAATAATAATTAAGACTATACTGTGAATTCCAGCGATGCCTGGATGTCTGCATTCAAGCAGAGGCCACATGAAGTATAACCATCTCAGCCTCACAGTTCCTGCAGACTCATGAATGAATCACTAGCACACCTGACCATCACAGCCAGTACAAGTCACTGGGAGAAAGGCTGCAAGCAGGTATCTGTGGGCTGTAGCTGGGCCAGGCCTTGGAGAGCTACCGTTCCCCTCGGCTCCTTCACAAGGAGGGTGTTTCTGCCATGTTGCCTGGCAATCACACGGGATTTCATATTTCAGAAAGCTGACATGTAATGCGATCGCCATATATGCAGGCCTCAAGAGGATTATTTTAGGAGCTGTCATCAAATAGTACAGTATCCATTGAAAGAACGGACAGTAAAGCAGCTGTTAACACTAGCAGCTCAGTTTAAAGGAAAGGAGCGCAAGCATAAATGCACCATCATTTCAAATCCATCTGTTTGTGAAGGCCATCCAAACTGGGTAAGTTTCTGTACAGACTAGGGAAAAGTAATAAACATGAGCAAAAGCTCTGACAGGAGAGGAACTTTCCTATTACTGCTTCACATAGCACATCCGTATCCATAGAACAAACACAAAGCCGACATGCTTTGCAGCACAGAGCCTGTTCACTCGTCCCCTTGGCTTGGAATAAAAGAACATTCAGCAGAAAGGGAACAAGAGGAGGAAACAGAGCAAGCATGGTCCTCATGACCTAGCCATTTTCCCCATTGCCCTTAAATCCTCTCACATTTGCAGAAGGAAGTTCTTATGATTCAGCTCCTCTTGAGATGGAGTCTCATCTCCTTTACTTTGGTGTCTGCCCTACTTGCACTGAAGTTACTGCAGGTTTACAGCACTGCAGTTAAATCCAGAACCTAGCAATTAATACCATCCTCTGTGTATTTATACCCACGTGGTCCAACACTAGAAATAAAGTGTCCGAGGAGGAAACAGCACATTGCCTGCTGAGCTCATTGATGTGATCCTTGTTACTCATTTGATTTCCAATTTACACTAATCACAGACAATAATGAATATTCATAGGTTACACAAAGTTGCAGACAAGCCTCAGCATCGGAGTAACTTAGCTGGTCAAGGAGGTCCAGCTGCCATCGCTCCTCACTTAGGGGAAAAGGAGCAGGAGGTTGGCGTAAGTGACCTCCTGAGGCCCCTTTCTACCTGAGCGGTTCTGTGAACCTAGCACCCAGAGAGCCTCCTCCACTCATCACTTTTGTGCATCCACTTGCCTTTTTCTCACCCTTCCTCGCTACGCAGAAAATATTCTGAACTCATCTAAAATCTCAAGACTCAATCTAACAGGAAGCTTGTCAACAACTAACTGTTGATACTAATTGTTTTTACACCATTTTACACTATATACAGACAGCCTCCTGGACATCGTCCTCATAGCCCTAATTAAGGCGTTCACATCATGTTCCACACACTTTTCAGCTGGCTGAGGCAGAAGCTGAAGCAAGCCTCCAAACTACCTTCCCCAGAAGACCCCTTATAAAGTCAAGCGTGGGAGATACCTGCTATAATATTCTATTCACTGACTTTTGCCCAGCTCTCACAGTGCAGCACAATGAAAAAGCAGCACAAAGACAGCCCTGTTGCTCAGGAGATGGCACTCCTAGATGCTTGCGTTTTCATGAGCTTTGTCAGAGACGTAAATCTGTTCAAATGAAATGTTGTACCTCTCCGCTTAGCCTATGATCGACCTACTATTCACTCCATTCCCCTGCCAATACCACCTTAGCCTCCTGCAATTTCTACAGCCCTAGGGACCTCTCTTCAAAGCCTCACTCTCGTTTCAGAAAATTCTCCTGGAAGCTGATAGGAGAAACGGGCACAAACTGAAGGCAAAAGTCCTGACTCACTAACGTCAGTGGAAGTTTTGCTGTCAAATAAATCAGGCTGTACTTCATCCCTTGACTTTTCACCATTTCCAGAACAGTTCACCCTTGTCTTCTGTCCGTGTAGAAAAAAAGGATAAGATTCTTAAATACAACTCATTGAAATGAAAGGTTGAAAGTTCTCAAAATACTCTGTTTGAAAAATCTTCTGACTTCAAGCAATCTGAATATAAAGGCAAAGGAAAATAAGAGTGTGTGTAAAAAAAGAACAATATACCTCACCTCAGTAGCTGTGCTTTGGTTGGCTCCATTCTCCAGGAGATATTTCACCACTTCAATGTGGTTCTCTTGAGCTGCCATATATAAAGGAGTAAAGCCATTCTAGGAAGAACATACAAGAAAATACTGTAATGAGGAAATGGAATATACCAAGAATAACGAACCCCAAATAAATATACATGGCTAAAAATGCATTTGGGATTTTTTAACTGAAATGTTTTAAGCAGGTAAGCAGAACAATTTTGTATTTTTTAACTTAATATAGTAACGTTTAATGCCTTAAACCCACAAAACTCTATGTGCTGTTACACTCATTTTCTTTTGACACATATTTTAGGGAAGCAATGGACCCGCTAATTATTAATACATCTTGCTGATAATGCTCAGGGACTGCAAGGCTGACAAAGTTTTATGAAAGCTGACAGGAAAGCAAGAATTTCATCCATTTATTACGTTAACTTAACTAAAGACATCGTCCCCTGGAGACCATACAGTCCATACCTCATGACAAGCTGAGTAGAGATGACAAAGGCTTAACATACTAAATAAGATTTTGTAATACATAAAACATTGCAAATCATCAAACATAAAGGAACTCAACCTTGCAAAGTAACAACTGTATTTCTCACCATACAGTAAGGTCATCTTTCATTTAATTATAAACATTGATTAAAATGTCCTAGAGTCCTTAAAAGAATCTGCTCTAGATAATACAGTAATTTTAAAAAATTATTCTAAGTTCATCAAACTACGGGCAAATTCATTAGAAACAAGTCCTTTCTTCACATTAAAATACTTTAACACAAACAATTTTAATTAATTAGCTACAAAATCCTTATGAAAGGAAGGCATGGAAGTGAGCTGTCTGCCTGATTAATAACTTCCTTCTAAGAGTTTTTAAAATTGTTAAAAACACCTTAGGAAGTTCAGTATTCTGTAGATCACCATGTAACATAAGAGGACATAATCACCTATACTTCTGAAAACATTCTTGGCTCTTGGAATGGCACTTTTAGATAGAACATAAAACATAAACCAGACTTCAAACATATTTGGATTGGTTGGGGTTTTTTTTTTCAATCTTGCATGCTGTCACAATGAACGATAAGCTTGTGCATTCACACAAGCGGTCAGAATTAATGCCAATACTGTGGTAACTAAGAACCTTGTTTCAGAGAAGCCAATATTATTCTTTCTAGCAAACTTGCTGTAGAAATATTCCAGTAATTTCCTAATGAAACGAAATATCATTTTTCAGTCACCAGATAATACAGTTGATTGTAGAACTGATGTGTTTACAAGCCCCCTCTGCATTTACAAATGTAGATTACTCAGACAATAAATATCATTTATGTTGTGTATGTCATATGATATATGCCATATATGTTGCAGCAAGTCTTTTAATACTGCTTTGCATAATATTCTGGCACTTCCATCAACAATCTCGGGACATATAATTAAAAAATGGCACCCAGAGAACAGTTAACAGGAGTTCAATGCCAAAACTGTGGGACATATTTTCAGTAACTTTGCACAAGGGTGCGTCTTTGGCAGGGATTACCCAATGTTCTCAGTAATGACCCGAAGGATGGAATAGAGCGCTTTTATTCCAGCTACAGACAGCACGAACCAATGTTCTCAGTAATGACCCGAAGGATGGGATAGAGCGCTCTTATTCCAGCTACAGACAGCACGAATGAGATGGTCTACAAGTACACCATACAACAGGATCATAATTTGAAAGATTCCTGTTACCCTAGAGAAAAGACCTGGAAACGTAACTTAGCAAGGACAAATACAAGCTTCTCTACTATTGTAGGAAAAACAAACTACGGAAACAGGGAATGATGAGTTAGAGAAGAAATCTGCAGAAAAGGACCTGAAGGTCACAGTGGTCTACCAGAGGGCCGCTGGTCCATGAGCTCATTCTGCTGTAATGACAGTCACTGCATTGGCATAAAAATATATCCCCCTGGGGAAGCTATTCTTCTTGGAGAAGACTAGCAATTGGTGTTGTTTTGTCTGGAAAGGGAAAATTGAAGGAAAACAAGATAACAGTCTTTAAAGAGGAGGGTAAAGGTCTGTTTTGCAAGTTGACGATGACTAAACCAAATAGAAAAGCATACAGTTTACTAAGGTTGCTGGAGAGAAAATTCAAGTTACCCATCAAGAGAAGCCTCTTAACAGTAAGGCCAGCCTGCACTGCATTTTGATGGGCAGCTTCCCTCCTCCCCAGTCACCACTAAAACCAGGCAGCAAACTGGAAGCACAAACTGGGCACACGAGCCAGCCTCTCCCACGCCGCCCTGGGCCGGGAGGACGCTGGTCTCCTGGCTGCTCCTCAGACGACTCCTTACTGAGGGGTGATAAGGGATCTCATCACAGCATAAAATGAAGGAACGCTGTTCAGTATGTAATTAGGAAGGTGCAGGAGGGCAGCGGATTGCCAGGCATAGGGACTGAGCTGGCAGGGGGAATTATGAACAGATTGGTTTCTTGTCAAATGCACTTGTTCAGAATAGCACAGAGCAAACCGCAGGTAACCGAGTTGGCTCACTGTTCTGGTTTTCCTTCCCGCTCCGGAAAGAAACAAAATGGCAACCTATTAGGTATAACTAATAATAATTTTCCACCCGCTCATCAGTATTTTAATATTAAAGTCTAATGTAGCAGTTTTTTTAAACGGTAAGACATGCCATTTGTAAAATCCTTCTAGCACTGAATATTACATGGATGAATACAAGGATCACACCAACTAATATGAATTTGGGAAGATCAGAATTTTCAAGCCAGAGTAAATCAATTTGCTTAAAAGCTTTGAAGAATCTTATTTTTTTTAATCAATTCAAGTCTCTAATTCTACAACAGGAGGAGGACAATAAATCCTGATTATCAGACCATAAACAATACATATATGACTTCGTGACCATTTAGTACCAAGAGAAGCACTAAATGCTTTTCCACGCAGAGATCCAGAAGAGTGCCCATTATATCAAGGATATCCTCCTCACGTGCTATAATCATACCTGAAGCTACAGCAATCAGGGGTAAGGAAATTCTTGCACATAAAATCATAGCCTTTTTTTTTATTTCAAGCTTTATTTATAGTTTAAAACTATTATATATGTTTTCTTAAAATCTGGTTAATTTTGGAAATTGCAACAGCATGCCAAGCTCTATATGCAAAACTGCCTACACCAGACACTGCAAAAGCTTCCCCTCAATGTCTCCCCCTGGCAAGGTCAAGCCCAATTTTTTTCCGCTAGCAGGATGAAGTCTGCTTTCTCAGTGAAGATCTTGTTTCAGAGCTTCTAATTGCGGCGTTCCTGACCTCAACGCTGCTGGCTCTTGGCCAGAAAGCTCCTATTTTAGGATTCCCAATATTACCGCTCTCCTGGGCGGAGCTCTGCCCCGTGGGATTACCTGTTAGCCCTGCTGGAGCCCAGGACTTCCACGCCTCCTCCTAGCCTGCACAGTTTCTACGATGTGTCTGCCTGTCTGTATCCTATAAGCAAGTTCCTGTCTCTCTCAGCCAGTCGTGTGGTTAAATGGAAATGCCCACAGCAAAAGCACATCCTTCCCTTCGTTTCCTTTACTTTTGTTAATCTGAAATCCCCTTCCCAGTTTCTCATCTTTTAGTTTCAAGCAGCTATATGCCAATACTTGCTTTCTCTGTTCTGCTTCTAGAAATATCTCAAAGCTCAAGATCCCAGCTCTCTGCAAACTGAAGAAACCATGTTTTCCCTAGACTTTTGTTTCACTACCCCAAAGAGTCTTCTACTGAATCCACAACATTCTGGTTAATGATTCTCCATGGACGCATTGCAAATGAGACTGACCTCTCCCCTCCTTGTTTTAGCACGCGGAATGGCATACAGAGGGTTTACTGGGCCAGGGTGGCGAATCTTTATTTCAGTTAGTTTTCCTTCAGCTTACGATCCCATACTGGATAAACACTGTCCAGAATTAAAGTAAAAATACTGCCTGTGGGATATAAATGTGACCTGGAAAAGGAGAAATGCATTTTATTTTGCTTTTTCTGAAAGCCCGGCTGTGTAATTATGTTAAGTCTGTATGTTTAGATTTTGTGCATCATCTGAAAACCAGAAATTAATTTTGTAATGATATATAACATTCATTTTCAAACAACGATTTCATCAGAGTACTTGTAGTGAGGAAAGAGTACTCAGATTTCATTATCCTGACAAATCTATACTGCAAGATGTTTACTGCTATAATATAACGTTATAATGAGAAATTAAAGCTAAACAAATAGAGTATATTTCATACTCCATTCTTTCTACTACATTCACTGATTTACTTGCTAATTTGAGAAAATGAGTAGCTCTCAATGATTCTTCAAGCTATTAATGCAAATTGGCAAGTCTATATATGACTCAGAATTTGTATCATTAAATTTTGCCCAAGCCCTAATGAGGAATACAGTTTGAAGAAGCAGAGGGATTATTAGAGCATTTAGAAAATCATACCAACAGTTATGTAGCTTGGTCGAGCTTTATTTTATGGCAGGCTTTCAAGGAACTGTACTCCTTGCATGCAGTACCACATGATCAGAAGCACACATCTTCCAATCTGATTAGTAGCCAGTGCGTTCGAATGACTAGTCTACCCATGCTTGTCCATGAAGATATGGCCTTTAGTGTCTACATACCGTCTATCCATCTCTCTATATATACATATTCATACTGATAAGGAAAAGAGCGAAAATAGAGATATATTACCTCTTCCCTCAGTTTGCCTCTTTTAAGATGACACATGAGAGTTAGCAACATATCCTGTGATTAAATAGCTAATGTAAACCCAGACACATCTATTTTATTTTAAAGGCCTCCAGGAACTTTTAAGACTGTATTAGGAGATGACTGAGATTACCAGGGAAGATGAGACAACTGATATCTAATGCAATCGTTTACATACAGCAAATGCTCATTCCTACTTGCTCTTCAAGATGTAATTACCAGACAGAAGATCAACACAATCAGTGGATTGCCCAACCCAGACCAGTTGCCTCCTCTGCCTCTCCATCTTACTGCACGGGTTTTTGGTTTGGTGTTTTGGCAGCCTTCTCCCCCCCAATTCTA